ATTTTATACTGTGTTGCCCTTTATGTCTCGGAAACAAAAACAACATACTACACGAGGAAAACATTTCATACAAGATCTTTTTAATCCCCTGACATCCTGTGTTTGTAATCACTCCCTGCCTTTCCTTCAGGGTTATACATTTGAGCAGTGGTATTTAGAGCAGCGCGTTGCCACGGCAGCTCATTGAAAAGTTCCTCTTTCTATTGAGTCTCACTTATTCAACTGGTTAGATGACTCGGATTGCTCTCTGCCTCTACCTGCAACCGAGCTCTTGCTCTCCTCCTCCTCTCTGTCTCTCTCTTTCACTCAGGTTAGCTATCCCTCCCTGTCCTTCTTTGCTTTCTGTCTGCAGCCACCGGTGCACAGCTCAGAGAAGTGGCTGCTGGGAGTTCATTGGGTACAGTGCGTGTGTGTGTGTGCGCACGCAGGGCCTTTGCGTGTACATGTAGTTGTGTGTGTTTGTCTCTCCTGTGAGTGTAGGTGTGTGTGTGTGTGAGTGCCCGAGTGTATGCACAGCAGTGTCACTGGGCTGTGTAATTGAAATGGAAATGAGCCAATCAGCAACTGCAGTGGTGTGCCACCTTACCCTGCATTCACTTCACTGTTCAAGCTCTTCCAAAGTCTCTCTCTCTGTTTGTGACTCTATGTTTGCGTGTCTCTGTGTATCCGTGTGTGTGTGTGTATCCGTGTGTGTGTTTGTTTGTTTGTGTGTGTGTGTGTGTGTGTGTGTGTGTGTAAGTGTGTTCGTGCTGACAATACTTGGCCCTTCAGTTTCAGCCCTGAGGGCACAGTGTGAAAATGTAATCAGTCGGTAATAAAGATTATCTCCCTCCCTCTCACTCACTCACTCGCTCACTCACTCACACACATATGCACCCACACACTGTGTCCAGCTGATTTCCCTGGCTTTGTGTTGTGATCCCCAGATCACTGGGACAGCTGTGTCATAACAAAGACATGTAATTATCACCATCTGACAATTAGCCTGGCATCCAACTTTGCTCCTTAATTATCTATTTTACTGCTAGAAGGCCTCCGCTGCCACACTGTGCTGCTACTCATTTCTCACAAGAATGGAGAAGACTGCTGCTCATGAAGTTTCCCAGAAGTATGTTGTAAAATACAGGGAAGTGACAGTGGTGGTTTGGGTGGAGTGTGTGTGTGCATGTGTGTGGCGCTGGAAGCGGAGCACGGGGGTACACGGTGCCAACTCCATCTGGACTGTTTCTGATGGGATTTTTTTTTTTTACATGCTTTTATCTTTCATCTTGGGAACATTAATAGAAATAAACAGGCAAGCCATCACTGTATGGATTCTGGGGTGTGCCACCGAAATGCAGCCACGGCGCCTCTGACAGGCTTGTTGCTACATGTTGCACATTGCTGCTACCTTCTTTTATACACAGTAACGGGTGGAGGGAGCCACCCCCTTCTTGTGACAGAGCTCAACAGCTCTCAAGTTTAATATTTATTTTGTCAAACAGACAGAATAAGGAAATCAATTTTTATGTGGCCAATTTAATTATATTTTTAATGCATTGTTGCCATGTAAATTTAACTGTATATCAACATATAACTGCTCATTGAAATTGATGAATTTAATTAATTAAACACTGAGGAAATCTACTGTTATTCTGGTGGCACACTCCAGACACTATATCGCTGACAGATGCACACAAAACAGCCATTTGCGATGGAGCTTTAATTTACATTTTCTTTTGTGCCCCATGGATTAGTTGATCCTGCAGTATCTTTGCAATTACTCTCTTCTATTGACTCCAGTGTTACTGTACTGTCACTCCTGCCTATATTTCACTCTTTGGGATTCTAACTGTAGAGCACAACCTTGATTTACATTCCACTGGTGCAACCCTCTCGGTGCTTGTGTGTCCTGCACAGAGGCTGATGTATGTTTGAACAACACATGTCCATTTTGTGGAGAAGAACGCTTTCCTCTTTCTGCTGCAGCCGATTGAGGCTGCCGTCGCTATAAACAAGACACCGGGCACATCTAAAGCTCCCACATTAGTCCCCCGATAACAGGGTTTTTATAAGGACAATAAACGCAGCTCCCTACAAAATACAAGAAGTTTTCTGGGACACATCTTGATGACAATCCTGCGCTGAATAGATCTGGAGAAAATTTACAGTCAATCTCGATTAATGATAAATGCATGGTTGAATAACTCCGGCAAAGACTTGGATTCACTGGGAGCCTGGCAATAGTATCAGCAGTATTCAGTCTTGCTGCCTCGTTTTTGTATTCCCTCACTCTCTTTTTGGAACCAGGTCCTTTCTCTCTCCCTCCCTGTCTGTTTCTCACCCTCACTCTCTTTCTCACTCGGTGCCATTAGCAGCTTCTGGCTGTCTCACTTCTGTTCCTTTGCCAGTGTGCCAGGGAGCTCGCTGAACTGATAACACAAACCTAATGTATGTGCGTGGGTGTGTATGCGCATGGAGGTGTGTACTGCTTGTGTATTTGTTGCATATATATGTGTGTGTGTGCGCGCGCATGTGTGTGTGTGAGTGAGTGAGTGTGTGCGTTACGTGTTACAAATGCCTGTCCTGTCCCTTTTTATGTGCTCACTCACCCAAACATCCTCAGCTTCATTTGCAGTCAGGGCCACGAGCCACTATTCTGACTGCTGAGGCAGGGAGAGAAGGGCAGCTGAAACATCACACACACACACACACACACACATATACAGACATGCACATACATACACACTCATTCTCTTTCGCTCTCTCGCTCTCTCTCTCTCTCTCACACACACACATACACACACACACAGATGCTGTGGAAAGCGGATGGGAGGATGTGACCATTAAGTCAGTGACATTTTAAAGCAGTGAGGGAGATGCATGGCTTCTCTTGGACCTCCATAGACATGTTTTAAATGAGATGTTACAGATGAGCTACTCCATGCCTTGGTTGTAAACACCCTCACATTGGTATTTACCCTACATGGGTAAACACAGAAAAAACAGCATTTCATGCTAGCTCTTGCTCACATAGACGCACGCACACACACATACATAGGCATACAGAGCAGAGCCAGAGGACACATATGATCACAGTAATGAGAAATGACAGTGTTTCGATTTGTCGCTTGATTGTTACATTAATCATCTGATTACCAGCATGAATTAAGTGACAAGGGAAGGCGCCAAAACCAGATTTTGCTCAAATTGCTATTTGATCTTCAAAAACAAGTGGTGTGGTTTACATTGTGATTGCAATTCTGGATACTTTGTCTGGACGTACTGCAGATTGAAGTAAAAGCAGCCAAGCAGGATAAGCATTTTCAGCGCATATACAGCGATTTGATCTTAGAAAATCCATTCTTTAGAGTCAGAACTCAAACATCACATTGAAATAGCGAGAAGAGCAGAGCTGTTTTAAATAGGGAAGGCAAAATAAGTGGGTGGAAACAGAGAAACGGGGAAAAAGAGAACTAGAAAGAGACATTTTTATACCATTGTGCAGCACTGTACTTTCATCAGCATCTAACGATGTCTGAGACATTTACTGCCAATCAATGTAAATCATATATACTTTTTTTCCACTGGTATTCTTAGACTAACTGCAAGAACTGTTTTAGAAAATAGCCCTCATTCTTTATAACCCTTATCAAAAGGAGCCAGAAAATCTTTATAGGACAAAATGGACATTTTGTACATGAGAGCCTCAGAGAAGACTGCATGGGTAGAGAAAGAGGTCATCATGCTGCAAGAGTGCTGCTTCAGTATGTTAATCCTGAGGCTCCAGAGTCCTCAGGATAAAATTATTTTAGCCTGTTATACGCCCTGCCCCTTGTGTGTTCTGGGGCTTGAGGAGCTCTTCTTATAGGCAGCAGTGGCGGTTTTCAATTAAAAGTTTTGTCAAAACTCTTGTCAGGTTGTGCTCTTACAACATTAAAGACTGGGTCTCAATTATAAACTCACACCACCTGGCCTCTGGGTGAAATGAGTCAGTGGCACCAGCTGTGTGCGCGCATGTGTGTGTGTGTGTCTGTAGCTGTGCAAGTTTGTGGTTGGCGTCGTCACTCTCAGAGTGCTTCGAGTGTGTGTGCCAAATTGAGGGCAAACCTAGTAGGTTCACAGGTGTTCAATATTTTCTCTGTGAAGTCCCCTGTGGCCGCAGAGTTAGGGTCACACCATCCTAGACCCAACCAGGAACTCACGACGCAGGAATTTCTCTCTAATTTTGGTAGCTGTGAAAATTCCACAGGCAAGAGACCTATTTTGTGAGCAGCAGAGAAGAAATTGTGTTTGTGTTTGTTTGTGTGTGTGTGTGTGTAGATGTAAGCTTGGGACAGTGTGTGGCCTTTTGATGAATCTGCCTGTATGTATTCAAGCCCTCTGACCCTGTGTGGCCTGTTCTAGATCATTGCAGCTGTAAAGATGCCTCAGTGCACAGCCCTCAGAGACAGCCAGGCTGTGTATTTTTCCTATCATGACATTTACTGTCTGGACCATCCTGTATCCCCGTGATCATTTCTACTTTGCACTCAGCCTGAGGTTGTCTGTCTGTGTTTTTTTGTTTTTTTTTTCGACGTAACTCTTTTCGAGAAAGCGTATTTTCTCTGAGTTAGACACTTCAGTTTGCTATTGTTCGGAGGGCAGATGTGTGTGTGTGTGTGTGTGTGTGTGTGTGTAAATATCTGTTGCAGTGATAGATTTATAGATAAACCAACCCACCCAAATTTATTGAAGCCAGAGTATGAGAGCCCTGGTGCTTGTAAATTTCCACACCACTGAAAAAAATACCGAGAGATCAAACCTGCTTTCGCTGCGTATACATTCTCAATTCAAACCAACTTTTAACCATAATAACTGAAGCAATGTTGATGCATCACACACAGATATATCAAGATTATTAGATTTGTCTGAGTCTGTTTTTGAAGTGCATGAAAATCATTGCGAATCAGGAGGTCTGCAGTTGTACTTATGTAAATATCAAAAAGGTTAACCTCTTCCTGTCTTCTCTTCTCTTGTAGGTTCCATCGTGGGGACTACCACATCGACGTGTGCATAAATGACTACCTGGATGTCTACTGTCCTCACTACGAAGACACAGTGCCTGAGGAGCGGACGGAGCGCTACGTCCTCTACATGGTCAACTACGATGGCTACAGCACGTGCGACCACACCGCCAAGGGCTTCAAACGCTGGGAGTGCAACAGGCCGCACTCCCCGAACGGGCCGCTCAAGTTTTCAGAGAAGTTCCAGCTCTTCACTCCCTTCTCCTTGGGCTTCGAGTTCAGACCGGGCAGAGAATACTACTACATCTGTGAGTCCTTGTCATGATTGCATTGCACAAAGCACATATGCAGATGGGTGACAAATTAAAGGAAAAGAAAAAAAACAAAAAAACAATTTAAAGCGGGCCAACATGCACAGACAGAACAGCTTTTAACACTCCCTGGCGTAGATTCTCACAGTCTTCAGAACCCTAATGGAGAGATGGAGCACCATCATTAAAAATAGTATTACCTCATTCTGTGTTTTGAAGATGGCGGAGTTAGCTCTCCCGGTATTCCCCCCCGAATTCTGGTGACGATTCTGGCAAAGTTAATAGCGTGTGATTTACCGTCAGTCTCACTCATCAAGTCAGGACAGAAATATTTCAGCACAGGATAAAGTTTATCACTCAGAATGGAGTTGTACTGATTAATGTTGGACCTTCACTTAAAGGGGAAAAGTGGACCCCAACCATGCTAGCAAAGGGCCCCGTAATATATCTAAGAATCTGCATGTGCCATGCTCTTCCTCACATTCCTTTGATTTATCACCTGACACAAAAGACTGATGAGACAATTGCAGCTGATCTCAATATAATTTTCATGTCAATATTAGAAGTAATACGGTTTTGTGTGATATCTTTCCAAAAGCTGTGCGAAAAGCCCACATTCATTCACAGAGAGAATATGAAACCGAAGGTAACCTAACTTGATGCGAACTAAACAACCTAGATGACCTTTTCCTGACGTAATGGGGTTTTCACACACACACACACACACACACACACACACACACACACACACACACACACACACACACACACACACACTCCCCTTCAACCATGTTTTCACAAGTTCACTACTAGAGCTTTGAGAGTGGCGTGACAGTGATCCGAGTAGGTGCTTTCATGCTCTGCTTTCAGCCGAGCTTTTCACTCCGCTCTCATCACTGGAGGAAAACTCTTCCCTAAAATGGCAATGGAATTCACGGGGGGAGTTAAATTGAGACAGTTTGAAAGTTATAGCTCACTCGCCCTGCTGCACAATACTGTATCCTTCAAACAGGAGTGCCCTCCCTCTCCGCATTATATGTTCTGCTCCCATTCAGCTCGCGTTAGATGTTAAGTTGTCCGCTTCTTGGCGTAGGAACCGAGCCTAACTGAGTTCATCTGAACTTGAAGCCCCTGGGAAATTAGGTTTTATCAAAGCAAGGTGATAGAGTGGAATTGAGTTGAGTTTGTCCTCCCACCACAGACTGTACGCACACGGGAGACGGAGGAGTCACCGTCAGTAGGCGCAGTCGCTGTCACTCGCTCAAAACACATTTGTCATGTAGGGATTCGCTGATATTAAAAAAACAGGAAGCACAATTATGTTCTCATATGGGTGGCATTAGCGTAGTATCACGCAGTGTTTTGTATTATTGCCTCAGCTGTTGAGGGAAAGGTTTAGAGGTTTGTGCACTTTGCTGAGGTGAGTGGGCGTCAGTCTTGATAGTTAACACTCTTTTGCTAAATGCTGCTGGCTGTACACACTACCTGTGTCTATTTATCTGTAAAGTTTGGTCTCTTATGTTGACGCAGCTCCAGGTGGCTGTCAAACCCTTGTGTCTTCTCATTTTCTCCTGATCTCTGAGACAGCGTTGAGAGAGTCAGGAGCGTAGCCGAGCCGAGCCGAGATCTGTTTTCTAAATTGGCACTTTTTTATGAAGCAGTTAAGCTGACAGCCAGCCAGGACCTCTGTCCCTTTATTCATTTCACATGTTTTTGCTCTCGCTCTCTCCTCTGTTACAATTTAAGAATTACAGACCGGAGTAGAGAAAAAAAAAAAAAAAAAGTCTGCCGTTGTTTCCATGGTGAATAGGTGTTTTCTCTCTCAAGCTTGTCCAGAAAACAAATAGCCTGAGATCCTCTCTGCAGGCCTTTCAACAGCCAGGTGTTTGCCCATTTGTCTGCTCAAAAGTAACCAGATTTTCCTTTGCTTTTATAGCCAATCTGCATTGACGGTCATACTAAATGAGACAAGGGAAAAATGGAAGTCTCTGAAGTTGGGAGCGTAGATGGGGGTTAGCGAAGGGTTATACAATTCATCCACTCCCTCAAGTCTCTATTTCTAACAAATTTTTTTTTTTCCATTTCTGTTGAGAGATGCTTGTCCTAAGGGCTGGATTAAATTACACTGCGACCGACAGGGCTTCCATGGAACACATCCATTCTGCTGTAGCACGCCATATTGGTTTAGTGGCCCGCGGCTTCATTGGCTATTGAACGATTCTAGCATATAGCCTCTCTGGCTACTGTGCCGGATATTAAAGTCATCTACCATGAAGTCATCTGACATGCGATTTCCCAGCGCCATTGTGTCCAACCTGAATGTCCAGAAAGAAGCAGGGGAGACGGCGACAGTCCCTTTAGTGGACAGAATGTAAAGCCGGGGGAGGGCGATTAAGAGAGGTAGTTACATTGCTACACCTGCCGATTCATAGGCGGCATCGGTTTGTATCACTATCACCATCATCATCATCATCATCATCATCATCATCCATCACCACCACCACGACCACCACCACGAGGAAGTTTTCCCCATGCCCTGGCACTAGAAACACACAAGACCTTTTCAGGTTGCATCGACTTACATCATTTTTTATTCTCCTTTAATCTTCAGAATTCAGTGATAAATACAACTTTGTAACTGAGGAATAAGTAAACAGGCTGCGAAATTAAATCACAACAGGGAATTTTTCAAAAGAGTATAACCTAATTACTGTCATTTTCTCAGGGACTACATTCTGGCTTAACATACTATTATTATAAATATTCAGGAGTTAAGATGGTGAAAAAACAAATTAAAAACACTGGCTCAGACTTGATTATCTCTAATCTTTTTAAAACAGCAAAACTGAACGCCACAGCAATAGAAAATCTTCCCTAATCTTGTTGGCACACCAGAAGCAGGTCTGTTTGGCATCAACTGCAACAACCGATGGTCATTTGAGTAAACTTTTTCTGGCTGGTTTTTCAAGTTCTATTTCCCCTGCGTGCCATATATTTGCATGCACAGTTCATTTATTTAACAACACCAAACAAAGTCCAACTGCTGGTCAAGTTTTGCCTGTACTTTGTTTTATGGGGCTTCCTCCGCTTTCACAACAACTCCATTAAATTAGACGGTGAAAATATTCCTTTTGCGATCTTTCAGGCATTTATATTGATCAGCTTATTAAGTGCTTTTGACTGATGCGTCCATAAAACATTTCATAACTTCGCTTACACAGTCCAATAGAAACAGGTCCGTCAGCTGCTTGGCACAACATCCAGTGGGTGCACATTAAAAATATTTACAAACTTTAAAACAAAGAATATTATCCTTGGAGTTTATATGATACCCTAAAAAAAAAAAAAAAGAAAAAGCGGTGGGCGCGGAAAGAAGGGAAAACAGCCCCCTCTGTGAAAAGATGCTCGTTGTCAAGCATCTAGTCCTACTGAAATGGTCTTGAGCAAGATGTTGAATATTTCAGAATTCTAAATGTGCCTGTCATGTCACAGTAAAGCACAGCCTGCAGATAAACTCCAGCATGAAGATAAATAACCTTTCAGTGTTAAAGATCTTGGGTAACCTCCGTCAGAGCTTAGAAAAATACAGCCAGAAAAAACAGTGTCTGTGTCCAGGAACAATAGGCCTGATAGGACCTGCATGCATGTTATCTCTGCAGCAAAAGACTGTGTGGAAAGGAGGGGAGCGGTTGCAGTTGTTGCACCCCCTTGTTGTCACAAACGAGCCCAAAAGCCTTTTGATGAAACACTTTGAGCGGTGTAGCGCCAGTCGTTTGTCATACCTGCTTAATGAAGTGAAGGCAGAGCTTAGCGCGTTTTAATCTCATGCATCCAGGTTGATTTCTGAGACGCTCGATGCCTATTGAACTATGAAGCAGTCTCGCTGATATTGAACTTAAGACTATTATTATGACGGCGGTTTGCCAGCTATCTTGTGATGATATCCAGTCTCATTATTGTTACTAATGAGAATAAAGACTCTGTTGTCAAATTTCTAGTTATCAATGTGTACTGCTGTGCAGCCATGAGTAAACATTGATTCCACTCTAGCTTCTTGGCTCAGGCATCTTTTTGTTTTTAGGAGCTCTTTAGTTCTACATGTACTACTACTTGGACACACAGAGGCCGGTCTTGGGTTGGTTTTCACACTATGGTGGTTGTTGATGTGGCCTGAATGAACAACAACACGCTAAAGGTACTACAGAGATACTTAAAGAGATGTTTTGCCTTAAGTGAAACGAGAATGTTTTACTAATATTATCATCTACAGCTGAGGAATGTGGGAGAGCCAATCGTCCTGAATGGCCTCACCTGCTGTGGTGAATTTAGCCAATTTTGCCACGAGGATCATTAAATGTTCATCTTATCATCTCATACTGTGCACACAGTCGAAATGCTGAAGCGCCTCGGGCCAAATGTCTAAATAATGAACCTCCAACAGTAATTAGTGACTGATTGCTTTCATATTTGAAATATTTAGTGACTTATTCTTTTTCATTAACATGAGGTCCATAATGAGTCACGTTTTAAAATTCATTTGCCCACCAGTGTCGACTTATTACACCACAAACAGTGACTATGGCTAGCTTCAACATTTCTACTGTATGAGGTATGGTGATATCTCCGGGTCAGCACAATGTCAGTGGTCAGACTTTGCCCTTGTTGCCCATTTATCTACAGGCTGTGGATGCGTAGCGTAGCGTGGCTAACAGAGAAAATCTTATGCATCATTACCCGCCGAAGCCGGCTATACTGCGCACCTGCACTAGACGGAAATTTCAATGTGACCTGAGGCAGAGGTCACTGTACAGGAGCACATGAGGCAGAGGTTAGCATCAGTTACTGAGAAATGGGCTCATGTCCCTGTGATGTAACAGTTCATCATCCAGGGGGGAATGATGAAATACGTTATTATAGCGTTTCTGTAACTGTACTGTCTTATGAAGATAGAAAAATGTATTCCCATTCAATATTTCACTGATTTGATTCAGTTAGAG